CCATTTGAGATGTCTCCTGGTGCATTAACTTTTGCTATTATATGGCCTTTTATTGCCCAGTGGTTGGTGCATTTATATTACCAAAGAAGGAGAAGGTAACACTGTAGTTGTATCATTTGAAATGGCATATATACTTTTATAACCCATAGTAGACAAAACTTTTAGCAGCAAGTAAGGGAACAAGTCCATTTTCTAGATATGATGTCATATTGAACAGTCTGTACTGATCATGAGACCAGAACTACCCTGCAAATGAAATGTAAGTACTTGTTAGACTTAGAACAAAATTTTACTTAGTAGCATGTGATAGATTTGTATACCTTTGATTTATACAAAAACATGACTATATATTTCTTAAATTTACTGGCTTATAAAAAATATACTTACTCTCTGAAATGTAGCTTGGGCTTTTTATTGATAGTGGAGAGGTAGCAAACAATGACTGCTATCTTTCTGTCCAACTTTAAATGTGAACATTGACATTTCAGAAAGATTTCAGTCTAGGGTTGACTGTCTAGAATTAGGGCTTACTTTAACATGAGAGCCAGAGTTGCAATTTGTGATGAGATAGATCTGAGAATAATTGACTGGAATGTCTGAAAGTGTCCTGAGTTTGTCAGCGATGACGTAAGGCCAAAGTCCATGTGTTCAAGAAAATCATTACTTGATGATGAATTACTTAGATAAATCATAACTAATGGGGGGCCAGGGAGATGGCTCAATGGAATAAGCACTTCCCTGGCGAGCGCAAAGGCCTGAGTTCAATCCCCGGTTCCGCCAAAAAAAACAACAACAAAAAAATCATAACTAATGTTCACTGTTTATGTTAAAAGAATCTCAGCCTACAACTAGCATGGAGAGTTCTGGGTGAAGAGAATGGTAGAATTAGTTCCTAGTCCCTTTTCTGTTATTTGCTGTCACTTTTCTGCCCAGATGACACTCTACTCTCCATTTTGCAAGTTAACTAAACACACATACACAACCAGAGAAAGCTCTCATTCAGAGCCTGAAAAAATATTCTAAAGTTCTGCAGATAATGATTTAAATTTATTTTAGTACATTAAAAGATTATAATAAAATCTGCAAGGAACTATGTATAGCAAACTACACGCCATGGATTTTGGTAAGTTTTGCAAACTTATTAGTGTTTTAGTAGCATGTTCATCAGCTAATATTTCTGCTAGAACTTCATTCAGGGACTTTATTTTTAGAACCACCATTTCCATCTGTCTTACTCTTGGTTAATCATTTCAGTTGCTCCAGGGCCTGTGTTTTTTTCTGTTGTAGAAGTCTCCTCCTGTTAGCTGACAGTTGATCTGCTTATTTAAAGTGGCACTTATGCCAAGCAGGTATATCTAAGAGGATTTCTGCCTTGCATAAAGAATGATCAGATTAGGGCCGGCCAAATAGCTCAGCTGATTAAAATGCCTGCTTAGGCAGATGCAGCAGCAGGGGCAGCAGCCAGGGTTTGATCCCCAGCATACCATGCTGGCTCCGCCCCCAGGGCTTGCTGAGATAGTGATTGAGACTGGGTATGGTGGTGTGTGCCTGTAATCCCAGCTCTTGGGAGCCTGAACACAGGTGGATCGCTAAGAGTCTGATCTATGTAGTGAGACCCTGTAGACCCTTACTAAAATACAAAACAAAAACAAAAACAGATTACTTCAAATATCACTACTGCCTAGAGGGGTTGCATAAGAATATTCTACACAGGGGAATGAATCTATAATGAGAGCATTTCAGGCATTTTGACGTCTTGAGTGTTGGGGAAGATTTGGAGATTTTACAGCAGAGGAATGGCAGAATTCACAGAATTCAGGTCCTTTGTGATTGTTATGTTTTATACTACTAAGCCTACCCTTTAAAGACATTATGTTAGGAGGCGGGGAGATAGTCTAGCGGTCTAAGCCTGCCTGGCAAGTGGAAGGACCTGGGTTCGATCCCTGGTGCCACATGTTATGCTGGCCATTGAAACTAGGTGTGGTGGCACATACCTGTAATCCCAGCACTGGGGAGACTGAGATGGATCACTATGAGTCTGACCTGCATAGTGAGACCCTGTAGCCTGTACCAAAGAAATAAAAGATTAAAAAAGTTAAACAAACATTGTATTATATATGCCTAGCTTTTTGTGTAATATATCATTAAACCATGATCTTTTGAGGGGTAAGAGTTCTGTTTCATTTATCTTTGAATCCCTAGTGGCTGCTAGAGTGTTTGGAAAATAATAGCTACATGGTATGTGTTGATTAAAGGAGTAATGTAGATTGTTAAGCTTTATTTCACAACTTTTCCTTTTTGATAAAATTGTACATTAACTCCTCCAAATCTTAATTGTGTAGTTAGCCAGTTAGAAAAGAATGAGAATTTAGACAATAGGAGAAATATAAATTTAAATTATTTATTAAAAACAGAAGCTAGGTGTGGTGGTGCACATCTATAATCCTAGCACTTTGGGATTCTGAGGCAGGAGGATCACAAGTTTGAGGAATTTAGTAACACTCTGTCTCAAAAAATAGAAAAAGGCTGGGGATACACCTTAGTATAGACACCCTGGGTTCAATATCTCTAGTTGTACAAAACCCACAAAAAACCAAACCAAAACAAAAAATAATAAACCCTACTGCTCCAGGGCTGCAGGTATACCACATTGATAGAACTATGACTCTGGGTTCAGTCCCCAGCACTAAATTAAATACTGTTTCGATAATTTCAGCACCTTCAAGTAGGCCTTTCGTACTGGACAGATTAAAGAATTTCAAAAGGACCAATTTAAATGATATTATGTTATCCAGAGAATTCTTTGGTTTGGAGGTGTTTCATATTCAGGTTGCATTTATATTCACACAAAATTGGGTTTTACTTTTTTTTTTTTTTTAAGAAAACTGAACTGAAGAAAATGATGTTTTGCTCAAGAAGACTGCTGGGCCTGGATGACCTCAGAATGACATGGATTTGGAGCTCACAAGAAAA